AATTTGAGCTTATGATTACCATAATTTACATATTTTTTTAAAATTTAATTGGCATGCAGGTATATAGGGTAGGGAGAGGGAGGATCTATCTAAATCAGTGTATAAGATGCTCAATATTTTAACAAGAACATATTAATTACTTAAAATTCTAGAAGTAAAGGATTGAAATAAAATCCCAATCTAATCTCTATGATCGATCATTCTCAAACGAAGTACGATGCATTTCCAAATGAACACTGAAATATTACAGATCAAAACGACAAAATACAATTATTTCTCGATCTTGCTATGAAAAATGAAAATTATATATTATACAAGCTCAACAGTTCGCTGAATCAGCTAACGTTGACTTGACCTATTTAGCAGTAGTTTGCTTTGATTCCTCCATTGTTGCAGGATCGCCGGCGGGCATAAGCTTCTTCAGCATAGCTCTCATGGTGAAGTTATGCCGTGGAGGTGGTCCTTTTGGTGAGGTCTGATCTTCTAGGCCCACCACGACGTCGTCTGATCCAAAACAAACATTCAAGAGGATGAGAAAAGCTTGTTAATTAGACCCTGATCAAAGACACCAAACGACGACGAAGGGCCATCGCTGTGAAAGAAAATGATAAGAGAGAGATGGATCGGAGGAGAAGGAAGAAGAAGAAGAGAGAAAATATTGAAAGCTAAAAGTACTCACAGGATCAAGAATTGTTGAGAGTGTGGAATGAAGTTGAGAACTCGAACAAGATTTTCAGGCGTGAAATTTCCCAGTAAACGGCGAGACATAATGGTGAGGGAGATGAAGAGATCAAGATTTGTTGTGTTTCCGGTTTTGCTTGCTCACCAGCAGCTATGAGTGAAATGGAGAGTGATTTATAGAGTGAGTCATAAAATTAATTTAATATTGCAAAAGGGAACAGATCAGCCTTGTGCTGGTATTATTTAATGCATGGTCCTGAAAATATAATTTATTACTTCCTCCATCTCAAATTATAAAATATTTTTAAGAGATATTTGTCATTTTAAAATATAAAACACTTTAAAAAAATTAAAATTTTATTAAATAGGCTTATTTTAATACTACTCTTTCTCTATCTCTCTATATTTAATACTAATTACTCAATCTGTCCTTATATATAAGAGGTTTTTTAAAATATTTTTTGTCCTTAAATATAAGATGTTATTAGCATATTTTTAATGAATAAACTATTATACCCTTATTAAATTAAAAAGAGAAAATAATAAGCATTCTCATTAATTTACTTTCAAAAAAGAAATTCATTTTTTATTTACAATAATTGGGGGCAAAATTGAAATGTTGCTGTACTTTTAATTGGATAACTAATTTTTATTGATTTGTATAATTCGGTTAAGAATATTTTATATATAAGGACAGAGGTAATAAGTGCAGATTTAAAGTTATTAAATGAAAGGTATTTTTAAAAATTTATATTTTATTTTAAAAAATAAAATTATTAAATATATTTAATAAAGTTTATTAATATATAAAATTTTATTTAAAAATATTTTATAATTTGAAATAAGGAAGTATTTATCACAACCTTCAACTTGCTCAGCGTTAGTGCTCTTTAGCATAAAAATCAAATTGTGAGTATTAGAAGTCTTCGCTGACTCCTGTCTTTTGGCGTCATTCATAACCCAGCGTTTTCTTTTCCTTTTGTTTTTCTCTTTTTTGGGCCAAAGTCATTCATAACCCCGTCTGATATTGACGTACATGACAATGTTTTTATTTATTTATTTATTTTATTTGATAAAATATTTCATCTTAAAATAAATATAATATAATTTATTTAATAAGGGTGCTTTAAAAAAATAATAATTATATCTTAAAAGACAATATTCAATCTCTCAAAAAATATTTTATATTTCTAAATAGAGAAAGTAGTTTATTAACGCCACAACTCTTAGCTAGTACGTGGTTAAGCCTTGTTTGATGCACATTTTTTAAATTTTAAAAGATTGGAAAAAGGAATAGGAGTGGAAATTAATAAGTTTTAAAACTATACTCCCTCTGTTTTCATTTATAGGAAAAACTATTAACTTTACCTTTTTTTAATATAAGTAAAATTACATTTTTCAATAAGTATTTATTGCAAACTTTTTAAATTATCCCTCATAATTTTATCATTCATAGTCATAAGAAACAATTAATGAAGGGTATTGTAATTCAATTCTTTTATTTTCAGACACAATTAATATAGTTAACAGATTTTTTTAAATTGTGTGATATAGTTTTTTTTTCTACAAATAAAAATGGAAGGAGTATTTGGCAGTGTCCATGGGAATATCTGAATAATTTTTATTTTATACTCCCTCCAAAGTACAACGCAAGTTATTGTTAATTAATTTATGTTACTAAAATAAATTAGTTAAAATCTTTATTTTTTAAAAAAATTCACATCTTTTCAATTGTGCCCTTAAATAGAATAATATAACATTTAATTATTTAAAATATCCTTATTAATTACTTGAGTAGAATATAATAGTACTATATAATTGGAAAATATATATATATATATATATATAGCCTATCAAATATCCTATATTTTAGATCAAGGGAGGCTTCTAAAAAATACTTTGTATTGTGATCCAGAAAAAATATATGTAATCATCATTGTAAAAGACTGAGCGAAGCAAAAATTTAACAATAAGAGGGCTAGTATTAAAAAAACATATACACAAACCCTTTATAAATTTTGAGAAGCTAAAAACATGTAACATCTATATAATATTAAAAAAATTTAACAAACTTGAGAGCCACGGCCACTAAAAGAATATTAAAAAGAGAAAAAATATATAATGGGAATGACAATATTAAAAAAACATCATTAATAAAATTTTATTTTTGTAAAAGTATCTTATATTTTTTAACATCAAATCTTCCACAAATGTATCTTATAAATTGGGTTTAATAGTTATTTTTATCCCTCAACTTTATTTGAAAGATTTGCGGACATTATAAACTCAACATGGCTCAATTGTCTCCCAATATTAAAAATTTTATATCTATATTTTTAAGTTTCTAACTGTATTTATTAATATTAATTAGTATTCACAATCTGTTCATAAAAAACTGTTTTATATTGAAACAGATGGAATAATTAGTAAGACTACTAAGACCTGGGTCCCCGCACCTCATTACTGCAAGAAACTCAAATTTTGTGCCCACCAAAAAGAATTTCATTTGAGAACATGTAATCAGTTGAAAATGAAAACCAAAGCATAAGAGTCAGAAAGTTTAATTTGGATATATTTTAAGGATGAGACGCGAATGTGAAAACTTGACCTTCATATTCAATTGAATGACTTTGACCATGATATTGTTATTGGGAAATAAGACCTTGACTGTTGACTTAAGCAGTTATCATAAAATGAATCATGTTGTATTTTTAATAAGTGGATTATTTGCTACTATCTCCGTCTCATTTTGTAAAACATTTCTTAAAGTAATTTGATACTCTAAAATGTAAGATATTTTTTTAAAAATTATTTCATTAACTTTGACTATTCCAATATTACTTCTCATTATTTCATTTCTTAAATAAGTTTCTTTCACTCTTTTCTATTAATAAATGATATTTTTAAAAGTTTATAAAAAATTAATATTACAAATTATATATAAAAAAATTTATTCATATATGTGATTTTGCCAAAAACATGTTTATAAATTGAGACCATTGGAGTATTATAATGTAAAAACTTGTTTATTTTTTTTTTAAAAATGCTCCCTCTTTTAATAAGGATATTAAATGCGACAATGAATTTGTTTATTTGGATTTCATTTAAGAACATGTGATCAGTTGAAAATGAAAACCAAAACATAAGGGTCAAAAGTTTAATTTGAATATATTTTAAGGACGAGACGCGAATGTGAAAACTGGACCTTCATATTCAATTTAGCGACTTTGATTATGAAATTGTTATCAGGAAAGAGGATTTTGACACTTGATTTAAGCAATTATCATAAAATAAATCATTTTGTATTTTTAATAAGTTATTATTTGTTAGTTGCCACTATCTCCATCTCATTTTGTAAAATGTTTTTTGAAATGATTTAGCATCTCAAACTATAAGATATTTTTTTAAAAAATATTTCATTAATGATGATTATTCTAATATCACTTCTCATTATTTCACATTTTAAATAAATTTCTTTCTATTTTCTATTAATAAATTATATTTTAAAAGTTTATAAAAAATTAATATTATTGTATATAATAAATTTTATTATATATGTGATTTCGTCAAAACATATTTCATAAATTGACATGAATGAAGTATTACAATAGTTAGTTAAAACTTTATTGGTATAACTGTTTTATTGTTCTAAAAATAGTTAGTTAAGACTTTATTGGTATAACTATGTTATTGTTCTAAAAATATTTTATTAAAACTTTAATCTCTTAAAATTTTTTATATTTTTCTAATTATACTCTCATTATGTTAAAAATCCTGTTTAAGAACCTTATAATAATAATTGAAATTTTAATGCATTGATTTTTTGAAAAGAATAATAAATGATATATGGGTGTTGTTGGAAAAATAATTATAAAAATGACTCGGTGTTTTATTTTTTGAACCAAGCATGACTTAAAACCTCAGCTAATTAACTTTGGACGCAATTCAGCTGAACCATAGTGAACGTTAATCGCAGTTAGATTATTGAAGCGAAAACTTCGAAATTATTAAAGAATGGAAAGCTATCGTCTGTGTAATTGTTGACATTTAGTGATAGAACAAATACCTGCTTTCAAAATTCTACTGATGTCACAATGTTTATTAATGATACTCTTCAAAAAATCTTTTGTCATGCGTCACCAAAGGTCCTACTGCAAACCAATTCTACGCTACTTGTGTCATGGTTTACGTCATAAACATAAGCATTTAATTCCATAGAATACTCTCTCTGTGTTAGGATATGCAATCAAATTTTTACTAAGTCGACGGTGGTGGCAATCCCGTCACACAGTTCATAGCAAACCATGTCTTGAGTTATCATGGATACCTCATTACTCTCCCATATCTTCAATCTTTTGCTTCTATTGGTACTAACATCTGCAATCATGTTCCACCATGCATAGTTTGAGAGAACAGTGTCATGAAAGAGATCGATATGTCCTCCTAAACTTCAAACACACAGTTGATGATCCATCATGCATCCTCTCTAGTTGGTCAGATGATGGCTGAGATTGTTGTGAGTGGGTTGGAATTCAGTGTGACAACGTCACAGGTAGGGTTATCAAACTCAGTCTTCCTTGTTCTCTAGAAGCCGATGATTATGATTGTGAAGAGAATAAATATCATTGTCTCACAGGTGAATTCTATCTATTATGGCTCCAAGTTTTTAATCTATCTTGATCTGAGCAATCATGACTTCCAACCTATCATCCAATATGATTATGTCCCTTCGTATGATCAATATTCTTCTAATCTTTATTATTACCTTGACTTATCATATAATGAAGATCTTTTCATTGATAGTCTTCATTGGCTTTATAATTTTTGCTCCTTGAAATACATCAACTTTAGAGGCATTAATCTTCATGGGAAAGTTGATTGGCTTCAAATAGCAACTTCACTTCCTTCCCTTTCAGAATTGCGCCTGGATAGTTGCCAACTTCAAAGCATAAATCCATCCCTCCAGTATGTAAATTTTACTTCACTTGAAGTTCTTAGCCTTTCGGGTAATGCTTTTAACTCTGAATTCTTTCCAAACTGGTTATTCAATCTTAGTGATGTCATCACCTCTGTCAACCTGAGCTATAATTATTTTCATGGCGAACTACCAAAGAGACTGTTGAATCTTCAAAAATTAAAAAGCTTGGATTTGCATGGCAATAAATTGAGTGGACCAATTCCAGCTTGGTTAGGCCAGCTTGAACACCTGCAAGTTTTTGATGTTAGTGAGAATTTACTTTCTAGCCCTATTGCTCCTGGTTTGGGAAATCTATCATCCTTGATTACTTTGAATCTCAATTCAAATAACGTAAATGGTAGTCTTCCAGAAAGTCTTGGACAGGTCTTGAACTTGGAGATGTTATCTTTTCATGATAATCACTTGATGGGGCATGTATCTGAAAGAAATTTTGTCAGACTCTCAAATTTGAAAGTTCTTGGTATGGGATCTCCAAGCTTAATCTTTGACTTTGATTTGTTGTGGGTTCCTCCTTTTCAGCTGATAGAGTTACATTTGCTGCACATGGTGGATTCCATATTTCCTGAATGGATATATACACAAAAATCTCTTAGAGTGTTAATAATTGTCTCCTCAAGTATTTCATTTCAGTCTCAAGATAACTTTTGGAATTTTGCAACACAGTTTGGATGCTTATGTTCACAAAATATTACAATTGATTGGGAAATGTCTGATGTGTTACTGACTCCTCATACATAAATTTGAGTTATAATAAATTTAAAGGCAACCTCCCTCATTTATCACCAAATGTTCTCACATTCAGCGTAAGAAATAACTCCTTTCAAGGATCTATTTCTTCATTATTGTGTCAAAAGATGAATGCCAGAAGCACATTAAGGTACCTGGACATGTCTAATAATCTCTTACCTGGAGGGCTTACAAATTGCTGGATGTATTGGAAAGCTGTAACGACCCAAAAAAATTTAAGTTAAATTAAAATTTATAATTATATAATTTAAATGTGCTTGTATTGTTTTTTGGTGTGGATTTAACAAGATGAATTGTTCGCTTAGTGGAAACTATTGCTGCTGTGCATTTAAAGAGATCTAGTTTTCGAATCCTTGTAGCTGTGCATTATTTTCATGCTTCAGCCTTTATAAAATTATCATTTTGCCCCAATACCACCGGAATATTTTTTTGCTCTTTATTTTTTTCTCTCCTTCCTCAATTCGGTTCCTTTTTTTCGTGTTCATTGAGAGAGCAAGAGAGTCTTGGAGAATCCAGGAGCGTCTAATCTCTGTCCTCTGCTGCCCTCCTTGGTTTGTAACTCACCCCCGGCGTGGGCGTGTGTATCTGCGTGACCGTCGCTGCTCTGCTTCACCCGTAAGTTTTTCATCATTCCTCTCTTCGTGCAACAGATGCTGAGCGTTCTCCTCCTTCCCCTGTTTCGCAGCCAGGTCTTCTCTTTTCTCTTTGAGAAGCAACGTCGATAGACCTCTGCATGTTTTGCATCGTCGCCGTGTCCGGAGTCTGCTACTGTTGCAGGCTTGCAGCATTTTTGACAGTGAACACAGCTCCTCTGTTCTTTATTTCCTCCATCGATTCTCCTTCCTTCTTCATTTTTGTGTGGCTGTATTCCCTTCTTTCTTTGTCTTGCAGTCGCGAATTCAGTGTGAAGAAGCTACAAGCTGTTCCCTTCGTTCATCATCTATATTAGATGTTTTGGAGGAAGAGAAACTTGATTGGAGTTTAAACGAGGAAAATTTAGGATTAGAAGCATTGTAGATAAGTGGACAACGAACCAAATAATTTATTAAAAAATTTTCTTTTTATAAAAACATTACTTTCAAAAATTCAAAATTATATATATATATATATATATATATATTTCTATAACATTGTGCACTTTTTTTTGATTAAACAACTCTATTTCTTGAAATCATACCATATTTAGAAATTTTATTAATTCTTTATTTAATAAAAACAATCATGGAAATTGGTAAAAGAGATTATGAAATATTGATTATCAATTTTCATAATTGGAAGATTGATGATTTTAATTGACTAATGTGAGTTTAATACTAAAAAGAAAAATTTATATTTTCAAAAGTGATTGTTTTCTTACATATTTGAAAATTAATTTTGAAGGGACTTTACATAGAATATTAGTTGCTAACAGCAGTTTCGTTAACCCTTGACACACTATGATCAATGACTAGCTAGTTTAATTTTCTTGAGCTCTGGTCTCATGTTTGTTATTCATGGGTCTCTTACCTACGTTTGATTTCATGGTTTCGGCTACATTTAGTTAGTGTTACTTTCGTGGATTGTGTGTTTACATATATTTTCATGACTCAGGTCGCATTTGATTACTTACTCTCGTGGACAGTGTGTCCACCTTTGTCTTTGTGACATAAGCTGCATTTAGTTAATTACTTTCGTGAATTATGTGTCCACATTTGTTAATTGTTTTGATAAGTCCCTAGAAACATGAGTTTTGATTATTTAGTGAATTTAGATTGCATTGATTTTAATTAGTGATGTTATTATATTTATTTATTCCATTTATTTGTCTTCTTGAGATTAAGTGATAAAAATATTTGATATTATAAATTTAATGGTTAAGATTTTATTTATGGCTATATAGAATTTCTTAATTCCAAAGTTTATGAAATATTTTATATGAAGTTGTTGTCTCTTTAATTTTTATAATCATTGTTATTTATTCATTTTATCCTTTAAACTTCATAAATGTTGGGACGTTATTTGCTAGAAATTATTTTGATCTCAAATACATTAGTTGATGTTGTACCTTTCGTTGACCATTGATGGGCTGTAGTATTTAATTAAAGTGAAGAATTGTAGATCAAACTTCCTTTAATGTAAACTTAAATCCATATATTATGTTCTACGTTTCTCTGACTATTGTCAAATGTTTCATATAAGCTGTAGTTAAGGTCCTCATTCTTATTATTTATATTTGTGTTATTTGCTTATGGAAATAGAGTCCCTTACTACTGCTATTGTTTTGTAAAATGATTGTATATTGTTTTTTTGAGAAATTTCAATTCTATTTCAAATGTATTAAAATATCATAGTAGAGTTTCTTTAATTAAAGCATAAAGAGTGTGTGTTTGCACTAGTACAAAATGGTCTTTTTACACCCTATGTCTACACCAGTTCACATGCATACAGTGTAGAATTAGGAAGCAGTGGTATTTTTATAAATAAATAAGTGAATGTAATGTTATATGCATTGATTCCTTACATAACCAGTATAGATGTATTAATATCTACATCAGTTACAATACATGATCGATATAGTTATATATTCTAATTTTTTAAAAAATTAATTTTAATATATCTACATGGATTGTTATATATTTTAATTTTTTTAAAAAAATTTATTTTTTAATAATATTTATATTAAATATTATTTATAAGTGGCGTAGATATGTTTTTCAAACTTCAGAACTATTTTGCCCCAAGCCCTCGCACTCTCTTATTCCTTCTTTACGCTTGCATCTCCCACTATGCCACTCTTGCTCTCCTTTTCGCTTGGGCGCACCACCGCCTCCTCCCTCCACCAATCTTCTGTCGTGCTGCTCCAATCTGAAATCTCTAGTTTACCTCTCGTCCTCGCTTCTGGATGCTGTTTCTGCACGAGTTGAGCTTCAATCTTCACACCGTTCTTGCTCTAGCGTCCAGGTGGGTCCTTCGCCAGTTCTTCTCCGATATTTTCTTTGGCTGGTGATTATATGAGCTTGCTCCGTTACAAATCTGTCTGAATTTGAAACCATTGAACTCAGAACCTGTTTGCTATTTAATCGTTTTCATCCCCTCGGGCTACGATTTTTTCCTAGCAGTGACTTTTGCCATTTCTATTTGATTTTAAAGTTGTTAAATCTGCCTACATTTGCTTTGTGACCCTTATGATTTTTCCAAGGAGAGGTATGATTTTTTCCCTTTTATTTAGCAATCACCTTGAATATTATGAGTCTTCTGTATTAATATGATTTCGGATCTTCGCATTCTCAAGTATGATTTTCTTGAGTTTTCCTTCATTTTATATGACACACATTGTTTTGGTGGTTAACTGTGGATTTTCTTATTCCTTTTTTGGCATGATTAGAGTTACACTGTACGTACCAATTGTTTGTTAAGTTTTCACGAAATCCTGGGTCAAAATAATACGGATAATATTTGTATCACTATGAAATATATCATTATAATCTCAATCACAATAATGTACAATACAAGTCGACTAGTATTTTTTTTAATAAAGCCAAAGAAATTAATCTTATTATAGCTTCTGTATTCATGAATATCCTTGTTATAATCATATACTAACTATTATATAATAAAGATAAAAAATATTAACAACTAATTTCTGGATTTCAAAATTAAAATATTTCATTGCCCCGTCTGCGTGGACATTTTTGTGGATTCATTTTTTTCACATATGTAAATAAAAAAAAAAGTGGGACTTAAAATGTTATCATGTGGCTTAATCACTACTTGAACAAATTCTGGTAGAATCTATTTTCTTGTCTACAGAAGCACCTCTTGGACAAGCGCTCCAGTAAGATTCCAAATTTTAAAATTTTATAAATTATAAAATAGCTACAGTACTGCTTTTTAAAGAATATGCTCCTGTAGAAATGCCCTACGGTGGCTCTTTGGAGAGAGAACATTCCCATAAACGGAGCATGTCAAGGTCTCCCAAAAGTTCTTTGGGGCACTTACACAAAGAAGCGCTTCAGTATTTTTGCATGCTTTCTTTGGAGCTTTTTTTTTATAAGCACTTCGGAATGGGCACTCAGATAGAACTTTTTGGTGATAGTGTTAAGTAGAATCATAGTGTCATTTTGCCTTGCACGGGCATCTACTCAGAAGCATTTGGGTTGAAGCCTTGGTTAAAAAGAATGAATGTGAATTAAATTTAACAAAAAAAACTAATCTTTTATAATGTAATAAATCAAAGTTTAAATTCCTTCACTAGGAGATGTGTCCATATAATTTAATATACAACTATGTCTTGAACATGTATTTCATAAAGATCATGTCAAAGATGTCATGCCTTAAAGATAGAGGGTGATCGGCATAGGATGTGAACCACTGCACATCCCTTAAGCCTTGGATTAATTAATCTTTCTATGATTAAGATCTAATTATGTTTTTTGTTTGAATTAGAACATGCATAAATATTTTTGGCATTAATAAAAGTTTCAATATTTTTGTAGAAATTTCGACAGAACCTCTTCTTTAAACAGGATCTCCCAAAAACTCTACAACTCAATATTTTACACCAAATATCATATTAATCAGGAATTCAACTCCTTCCAGCCACCAAGCAAAAATATATGACAAAATAAAAGTTCTAGCTATAGACTATGTGGAGCACCTAAACTAAGCTTACAAAATAAAACTTCATAATTTAAAACATTACATCAAAAGAATACTTAATTCTTAACTCGTCCACCTTTAGTCAGTAATAGACTCCTCAATATTTGGCGGATGGTTTAGTGTCAGCTACACTATCTGAGACCAAAAATTTTTCTAGTGAATAACGTCCCAATAATAAATAATTAAATATGAATAAAAGAAAAGTTATAAACAATTATGTAAGTTTAAAAAAAACAACGATCTCCATAAAGATTCAAATAAGCATGGAACAACAAGATTCTATATAACTTTAAATGAAATCTTGAATCATTAAATTATCATATCAAATGTTGTCATAACTTAATTTCAAGAAAACAAATAAACAAAATAAGCAATTAAAAATATATTGCTAATTAAAACAAACGAAATATGAAATCATTGAATAATCAATTTCATATTTATAGAGAATTATCAGAACAATTAACAAACATGGACACACAGTCCATAAGGGTAAATAATCAAACGCGACTTATGCCACAAAGACAGACATGGACACTCAGTCCACGAGGATAAGTAACCAGACGTAGTTGAAGCTACAAAACAGACATGGATACATAGTTCATGAGGGTAACTAACCAGATGTGGTTGAAGCTATGAAAACAGATGCAGGTATGAGACCCACGAATAACAGACGTGAAAACAAAGCTCACAAAATTCAACTAGCTAGTAATTAACCATGGTGCGCCAAAGGCTAACGGAACTATCGTTAGCAACCAGTGTTCTGCTTAGAGTCCCTTAAACAATCAATTTTCAAACATACGAGAAAAATAATCATTATCGAATTAAAATTTTCTCTTTTCATGTCAAACTCGCATAAATTATGTAAACACTTGTTCTTTTCAATGTAAAAACTTATAAACCCTTTCACAAATTTTCCTGATTGTCCTTGTCAAATAAAGGATTACTAAAACTTGTAAAAAAAAAAACAAGTTGATCAATGTTGTAAGCATATAACATGACTTAGGAAAATAGAGTTATTCAATCAACAAAAATAATCAATGCTTATGAGATATATATACATATACACACATATATAAATAGATAAAATTGTGAATTGTTGAAATCAATATCTTTGATGGAAAGAAACTTTGCTAATAAATTATTTGAGACGTTATCCACTTACCTGAGACATTCTCTATCCCTAATCGGTCCTCTTGCAACAATGTTTGCTCTTTAAATCCTAGTGCCCAAATAATAACATCATTATTTTATTTTAAAGATTTATTTTTTTATACCTTTTCAACCCCAAATCAATTTGGAAAAATAACACAAACAATTCCCAACTTTAATTTAAATTTTCTTTTTCCCAAACATTTCATAGATATTTCAAAGACTAATATTTTGATAATCAATTGGCTCTTAAATTAATAAGCAAAATTACTCTTCCCAAGCATCTCTATCTTTTCCACTTTCCTTGTGGAGATAATTATCTTTCATGACTGCTTAATATGTGATAATATAACTATTACAAATAAATATATATATTTAATTAAATTTCTATATAATGTCCAACACAAATTATTAGATAATAGCATCCAAACCATTTATGTTTTTCCCAAAAGTTTAATAAGATTTTAGGAAAATACTCAATCAAGTAACAACTTCTAACAAATATTTCTAATAATTATCTCATCGGTATCAATTCCTAACTTAATCAATGAAACTTCTTAACCTCCTATCAATTATCCAAAATTTTCCAACATTAATAATTAGATCAAATAAATAAAACTCAAGCCTAGCCTAACATTCTCTTGTTCTTTATACCGTACAATTTCAATTTCATAAATTCTCCTTTTAGCTTAACAAATATGGTAATAAAAAGAAAAATTTCCAACCATTTTATCTCTATATTCACCCACATACGTACAGAGCCACCGTGAAGAGGAAGATCAAAATTTCTCACCTCTATTTACAATAGCAGAGAGGGAATGAAATTTACAGCATAAAAGAAGGAGGAAGTTTCAGAATCAAACTCCCAGGACAATAGCCACATCTCCCCTGTTCTTCGGCACCTAAAAACGAAATAAATGAGAGAAGAGAAAGGAGGTTCAAAGCTCTCTATGGCAGTGAACAGTAGTGTCGCGTTGCAAGAGAGAAGGAGATTTCTGACTCACCCTTGTAGTTACTCGGACAGATCAGAAGGAAGAGGCTTCGATGATGAGAGACAGAGCAAGATGAGGGAGGCAACAGGTTACACACAGCCATAGCAGACAAAGCAACGACGGCGACCACACGAATAAGAAACACCCACATCGGCAAAGGCTGTGAACAAGAAGGGAGAGAGACTTAAATGCTCAGATCATCACTCAGCAGAGGAAAAAGAATGACCTTACTGATCTGAAATAGAGAAGGAAAAAAGAAAGAGCACAAACTTGGCAGAGAAGCGTCGGGCGGAACTCTCGCACACTCACACGCCAGCGACGCTGCGGACGGAAGTAGGAGGAGACGGAGAAGGCAGAAGGTGAGAGATGAGAGATGAGAGAATTTTCTACAGAGCCCCCAATGCTGAATCGTGCCAGATATAGAGGGAAAAAGAGAGGGAAAAAAGAAAGGAAATCTGTGGAGGCAAGGGTAGTTTCGTAATTTCACAGTACAAAAGTGAAAAAATAATTCACTCCTTTCTAGCTTCAACCAGGTTTGAACTCAAGACCAGATATGAGAGATACATGCATACTCTCACTATATCAACACCTCGTCTTGTCATAATTGTTCCAAAATTAATATAACTACAATTCAACAACAATAATATTTATATATTTTTTATATTTTTATATTTTTTTTTGCTCAAAATTCTTGGGCTATTACAAAAGAACATTTGAATCATGAAGATCAAATAAGTGCTTCACGTGCGTTGTCTTCCTATTCTGAACATTTGATGTTCGATGTATATATAGTTAATTTCACTGAAGTTTTGTGACACATCCATGCTGTTATTAAAGCAAAAGAAAAGAATCTTATAATTTCTGTATTCAACGCGAATATCTTTGTTATTAAGCCCATTCATGACAATATATAGATGTTCTTGAGCTTTACTTGGGGCTTACATATCTGAATCTCCATGTCTCTTTTCCTTATTTTGTTGTTATTTGCACTTGATTACAAAAGTATTCAATCTACTCACTGCATATTCGGCATTTGTTTCTCAAAAAACGCCAACTCATTTAGCAAAAAATAATTTGTCTTTTATGATTCATCTGAAAATTAAATTTTGGTCGTGATACTTTCTTTCTTTCTTTTCTTTTTTTTTTTTGAATTGGGGAGGAATTGATTTTTTTTTTTTTTTGCTTTTAGGTATACTCCCATTGGAAGCAATTCTATTTAAGGTACAATCAAATACTAAAAATGAGCAGTTTTCTCAATGTAAATTTGAACATTAATTCGTCATATTATAAAATTAATCCCCTTCACTAAACCCAATTCCTCCTAACGGGGAGGAAATAATTTATTGATGATTTTATCAATTGAATTATGGGAATTTCCATATTTTTTCGATCACTCCTCTATATGAATTTATTTATTTATTTTGTTTGAGAAATTACCTTTGGCTAATTCCCAACCTAATATAACACGCAAGTGTGTTGCTTGCATTGACCAGGTTTTCGATTTTTATAATCAGCACAAACATTTTTTAAATTTTATTAAAATTACACCTAGTTTTCTATATCTAAAATAAAATAATTACACTCATCTCTTATGAACTTTTCTCAAAACATTATTAGAAATATTATCATTCAAAGCAAATTCTAGGCTTGGCCTGGCTTCATTTTTTTTTTACGAAATAACTTTATAATTTTATATTTTCATTTTAGTTCGCAACAAAGAACCTACTGTAGTCTTGTAATTGTAATCATTACAGGGAAGATATTCATAACCAACAAAACCAATAAATTTCACAAAGAAGATAAGATCTTCTAGTGCCGCCTTATAAAACTGTTTGAATGCAAATCAATGGTTTGCATGGATGATCTCATCCAGTCGAGTTCCAACAGGTAATTTGATAAACAAAAAAAAAGCAAAAAAGAAAAAAGAAAAAAGAAAAATTTCATGTAAGCCCTATGGAGCAGAGATCTATTTATAAATAAGTCCTATAGAATTAAAAAAAAGCACAGTCAGATCTCTTGAGAGTTGAGTATAATTTAAAATTGGAGTCAAAAGATAATAATGCCTCTATTAAAAATACATTATATTAATCAAATAATTTACAATTATTTTATCAATAATTTACAACAATCACTTTGACTTTTTCAACAATAACTTTACATATCTAATAGTTAAACTGATTATACATTATTAAAAAGTTTAACACTAATCGTTACAACTATTTTATCTGTAATTGATAACTATCACTTTAACTTTTTACAATTATGACTTCACATATTTAATAGTTAAATTGATTATGCATTACTAACAAAGTTTAACACTAATTATTTATAACTACTTCATCACTAATTTATAACTATCATTTCAATTTCTTACAATTATAACTTTACATATTCAATAATTGAAAGGTTTGAAGTTATAATTGTAAAAATTTGAAGTGATAATTATAAATTATTGATGAAATAGCTATAAATTATTTAATTAATGTAATGTATTTTTAATAAGGATATTATTGTCTCTGCACTCTAATTTCAATTTACATTCAGGCTCCAAAGGACTTGGCTATGGTTTCTAAATAAGTCTACTCCACAGAACCTATACATAATTTTTCCAAAAAAATCCATTTTATTAATATTGAAAAATGTATTCCAATAGGTAGTTGAATTACACAAGTTAATTTGTTTACGCAGGATGATTTAGACGTGAAAGTAAAATATGTTAATTAGGTCAAAATCAAAATGAATAGTAATAGTTAAATATTTGTCCAATAATAAAATATGTTCATACTATATTTGTTTAATAATTTTGACCTTTTCCATTCAAACCTCATCCGAAATTAACGAAATATTTCAGACTTATATTTTCTTGTTATATGGGTATCTAAAATTATATAAAATTAAAGAGTTGAAAGTTTCTTCAATAAATGTATTATTTTTATTAATAATTTAATTTATCACACTCTCCCTCTCCCCCTCTCCCTATTATAAGTTATAAATGTATATGTTTTCAGTCATAGTATCCGTTCAGTATAGAAACCAAATTAGGTAACAAAATTGAAGTTGTATTTATTACTAATAATTTTACTGTTTATATGGAGATGAAGATAACAAAAATTTTCACGCTATCAAAGTCTTTTTGGGTCAAACACACCATCAAAGTTTATAGATTGAATTTGTACAACCAAACATCAAAAGTGTAATATACTAAATAATATATTTGTTTTTCAATTATTAGTGACCAATGGATATTGAGTTTATTGGAAAAGACTAATCCCTTACAATGTGAGTAACCAATATTTAAGGGGTTAAAAGGCAAATCTACACAAAAAATAATCGGCCAAGGGCACCCATCATAAAGTGATGAAGGGGACGTAAATACTCATAATGTTACATGAATGGGTATAAAAGAAATCAAACTATTAACTTTGCCCTAACGACATTAGTTTATGATATTAAATGCTGACTGTACATGCCACGTGTCAATCTTCGCTAACAAGCACTAAAAAAGGGGCAAAAATACCCATAAAGTGTTCAGTCAGGGGCATTCAATAGCCTAAAAAAAAAGAAAAAAAATACCCATAACATTATTAGAGTTGGTGCAAAAGTAATCAATTCATCAAATCTCTTAAATGTTGACTATTTAGCTAACACCTAAGCAAAAGCTGACTATTTTTTCATTGACGTGAATAAAAAATATTCTCAAATGAAATTCTATGAAAGTTAATTGGTTATTGTATGAATATTATGTGAGAAAATATCATTTGATTGAACATCAAATTAAATCACTTGCTACTTTGTAGCAATGGCGAAAACCATTTGAAAATTTTGAACCTATCATGAATGAAATTGCTTAAGGTTGTGATATTGTTTTTAAGGTAGGGTGGTATAGGAGGTGTGCTTGGTCTCGATTTTCAATTGTGTACAACCTGTTTCACTGTGTTGAATCTCAAGTTTTGATAGATTGGTCATTATTGCACCTACTAAAGTAATATTATAGGTACTCATACAATGATTAATCAACCTCCTTAGAAATTCACTTGAAAATATTTTTTTCTATATTAGCAAAAAATGGTTAACTTCTACTTAAGTGTCAGCTAAACGATCAACATTTAAAAGAATTGATGAATTGATCACTTTTGCACCAATTCTAGTAATGTTATGGGTATTTTTGCCTTTTTTTCTTACTTTAGTTTACTGGATGCCCTTGGTTGATCAGTTCATAGGTATTTTTGCCCCTTTTTTAGTCCACGTCAGGAAAGACTAACACATGGTATGCATAGTTAAAACTTAACACCGAAAACTAATGCCGTTAGGGCAAAGTTAATAGTTTGGTCACTTTTGTACCCACTCATGTAACGTTACGAGTATTTATGCCCCCTTCCTCACTTTATGATACTGAATGCCCCTGGCCGACTACTTTATGTATAGATTTGCTCTTTAACCTAATATTTAAATCTTTGCTAGTAAGAGGTATTCACATTCTGTGCCCGATCATACCCTGAAAAGGATTACCTCCAATATGATTAAGGACACCCTTGTGCAATAAAAAAATTATTATTGGGAATTTAATTATTTTTACTTTCAAAATTTAAACCTAATTGGCAATAAAATAATCTTTGCAATAATGAGGATATTATTATATTTATTTATCTTATTTATTTTGATAAAAATGAATTTTTCCTATTTTTTATTTTTACCTTCATTTTTTCTTATCAGTTATTTTTCAATTGTTATGACCACATCCTATTGATTTTCTAAAGACTGGTTATAAAAATAAGAAGAATTACTTTAAGGTCTTATTCAACACAATTAATTATTACAAGGTTTACTGGCAACTAAGTTAAGACCATTGTGTTGTCAATTACTTTAGCTTAATTAATTATCAATGGACCTTATAGTAGTTAATTGTGTTGTATGGAATTTGCATGTTATTCTCCCAAAAAAATATGTTGGTTCATGATGAGGGGTAACAGTTACGGATTAATCTAATCAGTTTTGCTTAATTTCTTTTAACCTTTTCCATTCTTCCTACATGTGAAATCAGCATAAGAGAAATAATAATAAATCATTGCATTAAATAAAATTTTTAATCATATATTTAATGAATGGCTATAATAAAAGAAAAATGGAATGAAAACAATGATTAAAAAACATGGAGAAATTACAATTGATGTTGGTGAAGGGTAATGATTTAGCTGTACATATAATATGGATGGATTCTCTAGACATACATTTTCTTTTGAAACTTCATCCTTCTGCCACCATCTCACGTCTGCTAGTGAATTAAGATTCTCAACTTCCTATTTAAAATTGTCAATTATTTAGGGTTTAAATTCTTTAAAATAAAGATCGGTAAATTTCAGTGAAATTTTTATTTTTAA